TTGCATCACTGCAGCGTGCAATTACTGTCGAAGAAGAGAACGGCAAGCTGTCGGCTGAGGCGTAATTAAACCAATTTCAGCTGCAGCAGCTTCCTCTCTGAGTGACCCTGCCTTTTGCACCACGGACCGAGCAGACCGCAGCGGGGATCTCCGGGTGGCACGCAGCGCAGCTGTGCCCGCGAACGCTGCGCAGCAGTGTAGGACAGGAAGTGAAGGAGACTGCCGCCTCCGGCTGAGCCACACCGAAGTCCATGAGGGCTTCACACCTTGGGAGAGAAGGAAAATCCATGACTACTCTCCATTTTCTGCTCGGAGGTCAGAGGGAACAGGTTTTCACTCCTGCTGAGCATTCGGTGTCTCAGGGAAGGAAGCCTGACCTCCACACGAATCTGGTCGGGGCTCAGGAAGATTCAGACAGACAAAGCACCCGAGAACCACTAGTATTTCAGGTTCATCCAGGACGAGCCTATTCCAAGTGGATGAGATTAAACACGTGGCATGTGTGTAGGTTACGAAAGGCATGTCAGAGGAACTGGCCAGCGTTTGGGGTTATGAAAGATCAGAGGTTACAAAAGACCTTGGCAGTTATGAAAGATGAGTCGAGAGTCTGATCCAGAAAGGCAGAGAGCAGCCTCGACCTGCTCAGAGGTGAACAGACGTTCAAAATCACTCAGCAGCTCACAGGAGGAAGTTCATGCTGCCTGGCAGGTCTAGGCTACGGAAGGCTTGAAAAAACTTCAGAACAGTAATAAGAAAACAGTCGTCACCGACTAGGAGAAGGATGAAGAGAAATATTTCCGTCTGTTGACAGGCCTTACAGGCAACTGCATTTTTTTGCGGAGTATTTGAAGGGTCTTAAAATACTACCTGCAGCCCCTGATTTTCTAAGAAGTATTCTTTCCTGGCTTTTTAGTTCTGTTTTAAATCTTCTACCTGCATGAGCCATGTAGCTGGAATGAATCTGTAAAAATCAAGGGTTCATTCACTTGATATTTTAGCCTCTCAAGTTCCACCTTTGGTGATCATTTTACTCATATTCTACCACCAGAACGAAGAGAAGGTTGGGGAGATTTTACTGAGCCAGACGGAGTTGCTTATTTTCCAAATGCCACTCAGACATGACTTAGAAAGAGGACATACTCCTGCTTAGAAAAATATTGAGGAGAGCTCTTCTCCTCTTTGTAATAGTGTTTCTCTGTGATGATGATTTTCTACAATTACCTTCAGTGAGGATATTTCTGCATCCTGCCTACTACACTATCATTCACACTGCCCTGTTTTTAAAACACGAGTTAAACAGACCTTTCAAATGCCCCTGTGGCAGCCTAATCACAACAGATCTCCGGGCACTGCAGCAAACTTGAGACCCAAGGGAGGAAACCATCTGCTCTACATCAGAATAGCATCTAGCCAGTTTCAGCAAAAAGTACAGACTGTTTTCCTGTTGGCCAACTCAGTAACTGAAACTTCATCTTTCAAGGAAAAACACAGAAAAGACTCTTATCGTGGCCTGAGATGCTTCCTAGAATGCAAAGCCATGGTTAGCTGTAGATTTTCTTATTTACCACAGTTAGAGCTGTTTTTACTACATCTCACCAGTGTACACAACTCGCCAGTAAATACATTTACTCATCTGCCCCAGCACAGAAACTCTCTAGGGAAGGTCCTGAAGCCACCTCGAAGCTATGCTGAGCATGGCATCAATAAAAAGCACAAATTTCTAAAACCTGGAGGAAACTGAGATTAAGGAAGACTCCAGAGCAATTCTGTTGCATACTACTCCAAACTACATTACATGTTTGCAGGGTTATTGTACTTAATGAAACTAATCTTACATGAGGACAAAGCAGGTATGAGGTCAGAGGAAAGGAGTGACTTAGAAGCAGAATAATCAGTCAGCAGAAGGATTGACAAAAGTTTGGTGGGATTTCTTCAACCCAAATTTCATAATTTCGTACTTTAAACGAACTTTAAAACTTCAGGTATTAGTTAAGTCATCTTCTCAGGGTTTGTTACTGTTTTTTCTGATTCAAAATGTGGAGTAGAAAATGTTTTGCTAAGTGGACTGACAGCCTTGCTGTCTTTGTGGTATCCACTGCCACAGTGCACCTTCGAAATTTAAAGAATGAAGCTAAATTCTTGCACTACAATCCATGAAGTTTTGTCACTTATCTTAGAAGGAAAAGGTCCGAGCCTTTTATTTTAAAAAGTGTCTATTATTTTTGTGAACTACATATGGCAGGAGTGTTATGTCCCTCTCATCCCAAAGTCATCTGTGTCCTACAAGATAAAAAACTAAATAAAAGAAGATAGATCTAGATTTAGGGTTCGTTAGCTTAGATAGAATACCCAAGCCAATTAAACTTAGCCTAGTCCATAGAATATTAACAATTCATTCTGCCTCTGCATCAGGGATAGTAGTGGTGGTGTTATGAAATTTTCTTACTGCAAATATGGCCACCACTAAAGTATCTCTGTTCTCTCCCTCAAAGGTCACTGAAAATGAAACCTTCGACCACAAAGCAGGTGCTGAAAGACAATAACAAACCTCATAGGCTTGATGTATTTAACGCCTTTTTCAAAAAGCTATGCTGACAGACTCAATCCCTGGACCCTCTTTTGTCCGATTCAACGCCAAGCGTGCATCGGAGCAAGTCATCTGGAAAAGCCTCACTCTGGCAGATGAAGCGTACGTTCCCAACACTCACTTGGTGTTGTAAGCTTTACAGCCTGGTTGCTCTATTGCTAAGTACGTATTCATCGTAGGCCACCCTTCTCCTACACGGTGGATCTGGAATGAGAATCGCTCAGCTGTCTGCCACGGGCCCCCTGCTCTGCTGGCTCAAATGCACGGTAATTTGGCTTATATGGTTTCTGGGAACAGTAGGTTCATAGTCCTCTTCTTCTCACCCTTGACAAATCCGAAATGACATACACAGACAAGTGAAAAGTCTAAAGGGCAATGTATTTGTCACTGTACACTTTAATTCCCAAGCACTAACAAGCTGCTGAAATTAAAAATCTGTTGAACTGCCTTTCTGCTCCCGGGGCCGCTTTCCCCCTTCGTTCTCCAGACGGCCGATGCCACCCCTCAGCTCTCCCCCGCCCCAAGCCCGGGTAGCGCTGGCGGCCGGCCTCCCGTCCCCCGGGATCGCCCTTCACCTGGGACGCGCGGGCAGGCCCCGGGCCTCCCGGCCCCGCCTGACA